GGTTTACAGAACAGCAGAGGCGGGGGCTTATCAGAATGCACAGCCTCTGAAGCGGGAGAGACTCCATGAGGATACTCGCCTGGGTGTAGGACGTTGCAACAGTGGCCACATCTCCATACCTTCCTGTATCCAAGGTTTCTTGGAATGTGATTTTCAAGTTTCTTCCATCAAGATTTGAAGTCTATTGTTCCATCTTTTGAATCTGAGCTGAGTTAGGACTTCTGGCCAATATAATGCAGCAGAAATTATGCTATGGTGGTTCTGAATCTAAGCTGTAAGAGGTGTTGTATGTCTCTGCTTTTTCTCTTGTAACCCTACAAAGCTGCCACATACGCAAACCTGAGATACGCTGCTGGGAGATCAGAAACATGTATAGCTGTTCCTGTCCTATCCTCTAGCCAACAGCCAGACAATCTGAAAGAAGCAGAACTGTTTTGCTGACTTCTAGCTGACTACAGATGCATACATAATCCAAATCAGGCCCAATTATCAAGGCCCATTTAAAAAAAAAAACACATTTTTAGTTCATCACAGAATTATGAACTAAAATGTGGTTGGTTAAATCACTAAGTTTTTAGGTTGCTTGTTGCACAGCAAAACTAACTGATACACTGCATGCCTGTGGTCTTGAAACTTCGATCAGGATCTCTATGACTTTAGCTTTGCATGAAGAGAATGGAGCTACCTGCATGCAAATGAGCCATGTTGGCCTGAAAAGAATCATATTAACAACCATCAAAGATGAAGTAGTGCCTGGCATCTACGATTTTCCCATCCAGCCTATGCTTCAGGGTTCTTGTGCCACCTAAGGAGAAAGGAGACAGAAACTTATGTTATTTCTGCCAAATCAGTTGATACTGGATTTTATGACCATCTTACAAGTGGGGGAGCAGGGTTGAATTTAATTTTAATTAGAAAAATAATAAACCTTTGGTTCTATAACTTAATTAATATGTTGAAATTTTTAAATAATAAAATTTAAAATATTTTCCAACACCGTATTTGAAGAAGAAAGCATAATCAATTCTCCTTAGATCTTATATCCTGTTTCTTAACCAGCAAAGGAGAGATAACTATCATATTGCACATCTTTCTGAATAAGTATTTGACTTGTAATTTAATGTATGGTAATTTTAATGATTTCTTAGCAAAAGTATAGTCAAGTTATGAGGTGGCAAATAAATGTTCACATCCAAAGTAGTGATTGCTGAAACATTATATATTTACAAAGAACTCTGGACTGGAAGTCACATGAATTGTATATTAGTTCTGTCTCTATTGGTAATTAGTGTGATACTATGTGAGTCATTACTTATCTTTGGGTCTTTATTTCTTTATCTGCAAATTAAGAAAGACGAACCAAATGGTCTTTATGTTGCTTTGAAGATCTTCCAGTCCATGTCTCTCATTCTACATGTATAATTGGAAGATCTTTTTAAACATATTTAGGGGTACTATGTACTTTCCCACAGAATATCATTGAACTGATTACTCTCTCCTGTAAGTCTTTAAAACAGTTACTGATAAGAGAGGGCAGGCAGCAAATCAGGCACTGTTCTGCCACTAATATATTGCTATTGTTATGTTACCTATTTATATATATGGTCTCCAGATTTCGTTTGTAGACCCCTTAAGGATGAGATGGTATCTTGCCTTTTTGAGTCTCCTCATTTTAAATTATTATGAATAAACCTAAATATAATGAAAAAAGTTGATACACTTAAAATGTGATTATACTAATAAATTGCAAAATACTCTCAAAATAGTCGTCTTTTTTCAATATCTGTAACAGCATTGGACTTGTGGGGCTTTAGCTAGGTCATTTCACTTTTCTGGGATCTAATTTTGTACTCAGAAAATCGAAGATTTGAGCTACATTATCTGTAAGATCCCTTCTTAGTGTACTAGTCTTTTTAAAAATGCTATGGAAGGGCCAGGTGTGGAGGCTGATGCCTGCAATCCCAGCACTTTGGGAAACCGTGGTGGGCAGATCCATTGAAGCCAGGAGTTTGAGATGAGACTGGCCAACACAGTGAAAACCCATTTATAACAGAATTTCTAATTTTCAACTGGGCACGTGTCCACTCTGAATAAAGATTACATTTTCCAGCCTCCTTTGTAACAGGTATGGTCATAAGATTAAGTTCTAGGAACTGGAATGTAAGAGCAGTAGTATACATAAAGTGATGGAGAAAGGCCCTTCACCTTTCCTCCTTCCTGCTAGCTCGAATGTGGATGTAAGAGGTGGGGCTCTAGCAGCCATTTAATAACCTTGGGGATGAAATTCGTGGATGGTGGTCTGATTTCAAGCAAAGCTACAGTGCTCCTGCTCTGCCTTTAGATAGTCAGCTCCAGTCTACTTTTCTTTGTTTATCTGACTCTTGAATAGATTTTTTCCCCCTCGTTTCACACTTTACTCAACTAAGCCACTATGAACAGGACAGAATTAAGTGCCTCCCAATTTTTTAAAAAACTTCAGCTTTAAATTAAATTTTCATGGGTTCTTCTCCAAAGACATATTTTAAAAATCTGAAGCTGTATATAATTTTATTGAAATGTTGAGAAGGGATAAACTTCTCAAAGAATAGTAAATTTGCAAGGCAAATATTTATAATGTTTAAATATGTTCTATATCAGACTGAATTCTGAGAATTTCAGAAAGTGATGATAGTGCAAAAAACACAGGAAGTTGTTCTGAAGAAAGGCAGGCTCTAAGTAGCTAATCAAATATTATTAAATGCCAAACAATTCTATACATTTAAATGTCAGTATCATTTTGTTGGCATTTCTCTTGAAAACAATTTTTAAAGAGATGCATCTTTAGACACATCTTAATTTAAAAAATTGCATAAGTCATACTTCTGGTAAGCTGCTTCTGTGATACATATGATACTGGATTTCCTTTCACTTTTCATTTTATTTGTTATTAGCTAACTTACATAAAACTTCTCTAAGCATCACACCACTTTCAACTATGAGGTTGATATTTGTAAATGTATGTCTTTTCTCTTTTTTCAGATGGTGGGTCTCACTATGTTGCCCAGATGAATCATTTGAATTATCTGGGTTCAAATGATTCTTGCGCCTCAGCCTTTAGGGTAGCTGTAACTTCAGGCGTACTCCACCACACCTGGCTTAAATGTATTTTCTGAATAGTTATAAAAACTGCTTACCTAGGCGATATCACATTCAATTCTCACTAATTGCGAGAGTAGAAGACAGATTATAGGGTTGTTAAATAAGACAATCAACTAAAATTAATGGAAATATTGAATATGGCAAGTTCCCAATATGAGACTGTTGCATTAATGAGTCCATAGTGTCAAATTTTTGAGGTTTGCATATTTGAAAAAGTCTTACACATAGATTCTTTTAAGACAATGTTTCTCAAATTATGGCAAAGGAACCACTTGCATCAGAATTGTTGGGGTGTTTGTTTAAAAAATGCTAATTCTCAGACCTCTCAAAAGATCTAGTGGATCAGAATCTCTTACCTGTGGCTTAAAATTTTTAATCTCCGTCCCAACAGATTTTCAAGTACATTTAAGTTTCAGAATCTCTGTTCTACTGCTGCAGTGAAGTTTAAAGCTGATTCAAGTTATTCCTTTCACAGCTCCATGCCAGTATCACAATCATCCCTTTTTCACTCTGCCTCTGATATTTTGATTTCATGCCAAGGCAGGGCTCATTTGCTGGATGATCAACATTTACTTTTCAGTAGAGAGGGCTGTCTCTAGATAGTTACAGAGGACATGGATAGTCCTACCTATTAGTCAACTGACAGGAAAAGGATAAGTGTAACAAAAGTACAGTTCCGAGATTTCAAAACCATTTTTTTGAACTAATCTGGGAGGAGTACCGTTGTCATATGAGGCATGACTTTGTGTTAAAGAAACGACAGGATAACTTAATAGAGGTCTCCCGTCTCATTCCGTGACGGTGCTTCTGGGCTCCGGTGATGAATGTGTTCACTTTAAGTGGCTTGCTTTTGGTAAATAACCCCGTGCCCTATCAGCTGTGCAGCCCCGGCCAGCGGCTGTGTGTGCGCTAATGACGGCGGAAGGTGCGGGGGAGGGCCTGGGGAGGGGCTGCCCAGTGCGATCGCGCCCCTGGCACTTCCTAAGAGACTCAGCCCTTTCTCTGCAGCTGCTGCTTGAAGACTCCACGCTTTCCCTCCAGAGGAAAGAAGCCCTCCATCTAAATCAGCTGTCTTCTCCACGTTCCTCCTTTCTCTCTCCGGCAGACGCCACCCCTACCCCTTCCATTGTGTTGGGCTTTTTCCTTTTAGCCCCGCTTCCTACGTAAAGCCCTAACCTCCTTTGTAGCGAGGGCACTTGAGCATTTCCGAGCCTCGAGTTGTAATGGAGCTGTATGGAAAGGTAAGCAGGCAAAGGGAGTTCCTTGGGGTGCTTAGCCAGAAATCTCGCTTTCACGCACTTTGGTGTGTGGGTTGTGTGAGTGTGTACGCGCGCCCGACTTCTCAATGCAATTGTGCGGATAAACCACTTTCCTTATGTGTGTACCCTTCATCGTCTTTCTCCCCCACGTTTGCCGAAAGAGACTGTAAAACCGCCCCACTCTGCCTAAGGAAACGTAGAAACTTTGCCGATTCGGGATGGGTAGAGGGTAGCGGGGAGAGTCCCAGAGACCAGCTCCGGCTTCGTTTGCCTTGGAAATGAGCACGAGGTAGTGTGCTTCGTAATCAGGAATCATAGTCTACTCCCGATAGGCGGCAGTTAGAAAGAAAGGTCTCCAGCTGAGATAAGCTGAGGCTACTTTCGCCTGCCCCTGGCGAGGAAAAGGGTAGGGGAGACTGGGAGAGGTAACCCAGGAGCGTTTCGAAAGGAGAAGGGAGGCTCCGCGGCCGAGCCCGACTGGCGGATCGAGAGTGTTTAGGAGTTTGCTTGCTTGCCGGGAGTTGTAGTTCACCGCTCGCTCGTTCGTTGGGAAGCCCCGCAGGGAGAGACTACAACTCCCAGGAGCGCACGCGGCTCCCCGCCAGTACGCGTGTGCGGCGCCAGGAGGGGACAGCTCCGGTGCTGATGTTGGAGCCGGTTAGCGAACCCCAAGAGTGCAGTGTGTGGAGCTTGGAGCGCGCGGGTTGTGCACGCTTGACCGGAAGCCCGGGTCAGTGCTGTCCTAGCCAGAGAGAAAGAACATTTGCCAACAATGAGACACGAAGCGCCCATGCAGGTGGGTCCATAAAGAAAGAGTGGCCTCGGGAGGAATTGAAAGAGATGCTTTTCCCCTCTCTCCGCGCACAAACTGTGTCCAACCTAAGGGAAGGTCTGGCGGCCACCCGCGGAGATGCGGCTCTGGGACATGACCCTGGGAACGGAGTTGGGTTCCTCTAAGCTCGATGTGGCTGTGATTGGGGCTGTCTTGATGAGGGATCAGGCTATTCACAATCTTTCTAGGCTCCGAAAGGAGGATAAGAGTGTCTGTCTAAAATGAAAACCCGAGCAAACAAAAGTCAGAGGAGCATGCAATCTCGTGTTGGCATTGATCTTCTCTCTTGGCATCGAGGTTTGAGATCGCGGTGAAAACTCACGGATTTGAGGCAGATAGGTCAGATTCGGGGTTGAAGACTCCCCGCTGGAGTCGGCACAGAGCGAATTCTGCTTGGTTGAAGGCACATTAAAGAGAAGCCAACGTTAGGCTCCTCAAAGTCCCCTTTCTTCAGTTAGGTTCCCAGTGTCAGCAGAAAATAGAAAACACAACGGGGCTTGGCATATCCCGGAGCTATGCCAGCATCGCTGTCCACACAACTGGTTTACTCCGTTTCTGAGACAGCCCTCCTCTGAGCTTTCCTGTGTTACGTGCCTATTTGTTCTCCGATTACCCATTTCAGTCACATTCTTAGGTTTGCTTCCTTTGAGAAATGTGACGGACTCCGGTGCAGAAGTACCTCTGCCTAAGCGTCTTGCTTAAGTTTTGTTTTTAAGTACAGATGAGTGATAATTCTTGTCTCTATGTACAGCCAGTTGATGCTAAACATCAGCTTGTGTTTAGTAATCAAGCAGTGATCCCACTGCTTAACAGAAAGGCATTTTATGAATGGGTTTGAGAGGAGAATAGAATACATCATTTGGAATGTGCTCTCTCTCCTGAGAACCCACCTCTGTTGCCAAACCGAACAGTATAAATATTTGACATTAATTCGGGCTTCAGTGTTTTCCAATTGGTTTCTTCATGAATCATGGACTTTAAACATATGTTTTGATTTACTTTTAATTTAATTTATGGGTTATGTATATTAAGAAACCCTGACTGGACTGTTAAATGAAAAACCTATAGGGTTTAATTGTTTGTTGGAGGATTATATAAGGGAAGTCCTCAAATTACTTATGAGTTATTGAAAATATTATTTGTTCCAGGGAACAGTGGCCCCATTGTGTGTCTTCTAATACTTCTATTTGTGACTTAGCTTTCCATTATTTAGACCTGATGTGAAAAGAATCTGAACAGACAATAAAGGTACAGGCTGTTGCAATAAGATATATTGGTTTATGATAATTTTCTATTACTGGAGATACTGCGAGGAGCCAACTGGCTAAATTAATCATATTTTATTATAAGTAAACATTAACAGTAGACTTTAAAAGTAGATCATTACACTTCACCATGTATATGTATAGAAAAACATGTACATATTGAATTTACACAATAAAAACGATTTCCAATAATTTTTGAAAAGTAATATTTAAAGTCAACTCTATATATGCACCAATATTTTTCAATCAAAATAAATTACTAAAAATTTAACCACACTGTATATTAATTTTGCTTTCCTACAGAAGTTTCTTAGAATGTTCAGAAGGGTCATTAAAATATTACAGAACTATATTAAAGTAATGTTTTGGGAAATAGTTAAAATTATTTTTTGTCTTCACCAACTATGTGGTAGGCACTGTGATTTTCTATTTTAGTAAAACCTTTAATGAAGAACTAAAACAAAAATTAGGTAAAATGAAATTAATTTGCCTGTGGATGGAGTTATTGTCATATTTATAATGTGTTTTTAGTAATTGGACTAAGTTTTTGAAATTTAAAATTTCCAAATGCTGTCATGAGTAATGTACATTTTAGGAAATCAAAGACTTTTTAAAAGCATATTTAATTAAAGCACATACTTTAATTCAACTTAATAAATTGTTGTTATGGTGACTCCATCTCCATTATTATCAGTTTCCAAAACTATATAATAATAGGATAAAAACTATAAGCTTACTCCAAATATTTAAAGATAGCAAGTAATGTTATAGCATCAATATTTCTGAATTGTAATCACATTTCACCTGACTTTGATATATGACAATGCAACAAGATAAATAGTTGACTTTTTTTCATTTAAAGACTGAACTGCATCATCATTTTAAATATATGTCCCAAATATTTTTTTACTTAGGTCTCTAGAAGATGACTCACAAGCAAAACCTCATTTTATGGTTTCATTATGCTAAGAGATTTCTTCTCTGCTTTTAAAAAATATTTAGTTCATTTGTTGATGTGAAACAAAATGAGCTTTTTAATGTATTTGCTTATTTCCCAATTTACTTCTTATATTCTTTTAAATCAAAGAAGCCTTTTGAAAATCGTGTAAGGTCTTTTAAAAACCATTTGACATATCTATATAAATAACTTGGTGTTCTGTTCAAGGTAGTTATCTTTGACATGTGCATATTTTATCAAAAATATTTCTTTCTGAATTGATGGAAAATAAGGGATAATTGTTTTTTATAGTGATTACTAAAATAATATACAATGACAGTCTCTGACGTCTTTATTTCCTTTCTAACTAAATAACCAGGAATAGCATTTGGTAAGTGTCCCAAGTGATAGGCTTAGAATTCTAATGCAGGAGATGGTCATTAGTGTCTTTCATTCAGTGTATACATAAATCCTGAAGGCCAAATGAAATGAGAAACAGCAGTTCTCATGACTTGAGGACAAGACTCTGGTTAACAAATTGTCATTTGATTCAGGACCCACGTTGAAAAAAATCTAGTTTATCTAGTGCCTTGTCTGTGCCAAGCCCTGTGACTTAGATTCAGGTCTCATTATATTTGTGTGTATGTATAAAATAATTTTTATTTTTTTATTGTATATATAACAATCATGTGTGTATGTATATATTTTACAAAAATATTTACAAATATATTTAAAAATCCTGGTGGCCACCATTACCCTAATTACAGGCACAATCATTTGAACTTATTAAGACAAAATAACTTTCCTGCTAGGATAGAGTAAAATTTCTTCCAGATTTCTCTGTCTAGAAAATCATGTTCTTTCCTCTATTACTTTTGATTCCTCAAGAAGACATAAATGGGTGGTGTAAATAATGAGACAGCTATTATAATTTGAGTCATTCATTTGGTTCAGAAGAAAGAAAAAATGGCCCTATCTTCTTCTTATAAAATAAACTTGCATAAACTAAACCGAATATTTGAAAAGGGCCAATGTTTTAGAAATGGCTTGCTTCTATCTACTATAATTTCTGGCAGGTTCACATACTCTCTTACAGGACCAAAGTGGAATTCATCGTCTCTGAATAAATGCTTACTTTTCCATTTTATTATCCACAAGTTTTCTGGATCACTTCATAAATGCACTGTCTTCTGACTATTAACAAAAATTCAAAGAAAAATATCTACCCAAAGCATGGAGAAGAGTGCCCAAAAATTGTTTAAGATGAGGAGGACTGAAGAAGGACTATAGATGTAGGCTGAAGATTAAGTGGAAGTAAAAACTACCAGTTATATGTTAAAGTCAGCCATGCTGTACACAAAACAAAATTGCAAAGAATTAAAGTCTAAATATCAATGTTTTATTTGGCTATGGGAAGTACATGACATTCTTGCATTTCATTATTGTTGAACTCACCCATATCCATCCTCAGTGATCATCCCTCTATCTTTCTGAGAAATGGAAATGTAGTCCTCATCCTTTACAGAAACAGAAAATCCCTAAGAGACTTTAGAGAAATGAGAAATTCTTCCTTACTCCATTTGGGCTAATTGCTCAAATATCCACTTTTCTTTTGTAAAGGGAAGTGGAGGATAGCAAGGGAACTTAACCTATAGCAAAAATTCACTTCTGTGGTATAAGATTGGTTTTCCATTGAAATTGCAAAATTATTATAATTTTCTGCCACCATTCTAAGCCTGTATTGGAATTGGCAATCCTTTCTTCATCATATTTCAGGAAGGAAATAGATGTCTATGCTGAGGAATAGGTTTTCTTGAAACTACTCTTGCCCACTCAATTCACTAAGTAACAAGCATCTGGGCCACCTCAAAAAAAAAAAAAGTTCTTATATAGATTAAAGGTTTTCCAACCATTTTTCCTTTTTTTTTTTTTTTTTTTAATGTGGTTCAGAGGTTCTGTGGGAATCAACTTAGTAGGTCAGTTTATTATCAAGGATACTACAGCCTCTGAATATTAAGTCTTTAAGAGTTATTCAGAATTACATAGATCTTTAGCACTTTTCATTCATTAGTTTGTAGGTTTGTTAAGATAATGTTTATATGCATGGAAATGCACAAATCTTAAGTGAACAATCTGATGAATATTGACAAATATATAGATCTGTGTAACACATACCACTATAAAGATGTAGAATGTTTCTAATCACCCCTGACAGTTCATGGTTTTTCCTAATCTATCTATGTAGTAAACTTTTTACTTTTTTAACCATAAAAGAGTTTGGTTTGTTCCAGAACTTTATATAGTTCTGTAGAACATGCAGTATGAACATACTGTGGAACGAAAAAATATGTTCTCATTTGAGTCTGGCTTATTTTGTTCAGCATAATGTGTATGAGATTTATCCATGTTGTGTGTATCAGTAATTCATTGCATTTTATTACAGAATATTACACTTTTTAAATCAATTTGTTACACTTTTAAAATTCATTATCCTGTTTATGAACTTTGAGGTAATTTCTGGTTTGGGGATATTATGAATAAGGCTATAAGCATTTTTCTATTCTTTTTTATGATAATATCTTTTCATTCTCTTGGGTAAATATCTAAAAGTGAAATTGCTGGGATAAATGGTAAGTATGTATTAAGCTTTATAAGAAACAATCAAATCTTTTGCCAAAGTGGGAGGACTAGCAATTCTCACCAGCAATGTACGAGAGAGTTTTAGTGGCTCCACATCTTCAACAACATGTGATGTCAGTGGT